CAATAAATAAATAAAATTTATTATTTGTTTAAAAAAAATTTTACTATCATTTCGCATAATTTTGTGAATGGGGGCATAATTTGGACCAATCGCATCGCATAATCCGCCCTTTCATTTTGCATCGCACTGAGGTCCCTACTGTAAACCATACACTACGTTGTATGTTGTACAAACTCCGTTCCTGATGTAGATCATTTTCCATATCAGAAGTTGGATTAGTTCATTATACAACTCGGATCCGACAATAGAGGGTGCGGAAAGATTTGGCTAAAGTTTTAGAGCAATTCTTGGATTATCCTGGTTCTCCTAGGTGAGTGTTGGATTGTTCTTTCTCCTTATGTAGTTGACTTTTATTTCTTTTTCTCTTTCTAATTCTAATCTTCTTCCTGTTGTAATGTTTTTTTTTGGTCACGTTGCGCGAGATAGAGATTACCTTGTGGGTGTCTTAAAATTTTGTTAATGCGGGCCGGCTGGCCTAAATTAGGAATATATTAAAAATCACGCGCGGGATCAAAAAAATCACGCGCATTTTGCGCATTCCCATCACTACTATGTAATAAGTCAAGAGACGATCTTTATTCCAACAGTTTATCAGTAAACTGGAAGATCGATTGACTTATGAGGGTGAGTAATTTTATAATGAAACTGGATTTTTACAGGGTTTAGGTTTATAATTTAACACGGATATTTAGTTCAATACTTCTACTCAAATTTTGGAGTATTGGTTTTTAGACACTTGTAGTTTTGAACTTATTAAAGTTATTTTTTATTGAGGTAATTTCGGGTCACTTATATAAATAATTTTTATTAACAGAAATATAAGAAATAAGAAATAAAAGGTAAATCCGAGAAATCTGGGGGATCAGGGGAATCCGGGCTAGGATTTCTAAGATTTGAGAGATCTGACAAATCCTAGAAATCTTGGTTAGGATATTCGGGATCCGAACGATCCTAGAGACGGGAAGGCAAAATAATGAAGATTTCGAAAATTTCGGGATAGTGTAACCTCGGATTGGTACTTCCGGGGTTACCAAATCTGACCCTTACAATGCAAATCATTTTCCTATTTCTATTTGATACTGCCTTTGGTAATTATGACAAGCTTGACGTTGAGTCAATGATACATCTATATTAAAAAAAGACTAAATTGTAATTTAATTATTTTACTAAACAAGTTAATCGGAATTTAACGTGAATATGTATTATAAAACTCGGTACAAAAATGAGCCGATACCGATACCTGTATTTTTGCAATCAAATTATACTTAAAATTAAATAGTAAATTAAGTATCCAAGCCGTTGGATATTATTTCCGCTTGTACACGGAGATTAAGTGAAAAAAATTATAAAAATTAAAGTTTGCTTGTTAAGATTATTTTGAATTATTCAAAAATGCATTTATACATTTTCTTAACGATTGCTACTATCCTATTTATAATTTATAAATACATAAACGTTAAAGTCCCAGATCCTCTTAAAAATATTCACACGATTACAATTTTTAGTGTTATTGTATCGATTATTAAGAAACAGGGAGGAAGTGATACGTTGTATTTTCGCTCTAATGAATATTTTGAAAACGACGGAGTTGCAAAGGTAAATTTTATTTACTTTTAGAGAGTGTAGAATTTTACATCTCTCAATAAATTAATATTTCTATGTAGATGAATTTTAGAGGCAAATGGATGGTCATGATATCTGATCCAACGATCGCTAAAAATTTATTATTGCAACCTGGTAGGTCGAAAATTGGTCAATAATTTATTCAAACATTTATATTTATTAATATGAGATACTTTAAATTTATTCATAGAAACTAACCCCAAATTACTGTTCGATGAGTTTATGTCAGATTCTGCAGTTGCACGCCATTTTGGTGTTAATGTTGTTCATTCAAATGGCGATGTAAGTCTTATTTTTCATTCTATTATTTTTAAATGTTTCTTTTTAATAAATCTTGTCATTTATCTTTCCCTTTTTTTTTTTTTTTAGATCTGGAAACGACACAGGTACTTTTCATATTTATCATTATAATTTTCTTTTTTATCGAGTTGTTAATATAGATAATTCATTTAGACGTGTTTGTAACCCTGCATTTAAAACTTTACCAATACATCTCTTTGTTGAAACGGGATTAAAGTTGATGGATATTTTAGAAAAAATTGATAACAAGCCTGTTGAAATTGTAAATATTATGCAAAGGTAAAAATTTTTTTAATTTCTGTACTAGATTTATATTATTTATTAAATTAAAAAATAAATTCCATAGATTTACTTTAGACGTTCTTGGAAAAGTTTCCTTCAATTTTGACTTTAATGTATGAATAAAATTATATATAAATATTGGTAATCAAAAAATTTTATTCATATCATATTTCCAAATTAGAATCTTGAGGATCCAAATAATGTCTACGTAACAGCTTATAATGAGTCTCAGAAAATTTTCAAAAACCAATGGTTAAGGATTTTTCCAATTGATCGCATTCCAGGCATAAACCAACTAGTATTTAGAAAAGTTAATAGACTAACTAACTTATTTGAAGATATTATCAAAGAAAAACGTAAACATTTAGCTGCTGGACAATCTAATGGCGATCTTTTGGAACTTATGATAAATGCTTGTGAAGATCCCGATAATCAAATGTTATCAGATACTGAATTAAGAGTAAATTTTATGATAACATTGATATATAATCATCTAGATAATAATCTTTAATAATTATTATATTATTAATTCTAATAGTGTAATTTAGCAATTTTTATGATGGCAGGTCATGAAACAAGTAAATATCACGTTATTTTTGAGAAAACAGTTTACATTATAATTTTTTTTATCTATATAATGAATTTTTATTATTATTATTATTAATTAGCCGCAACTGCTTTATCGACTCTCCTATATCTTTTATCGATTCATAAGGTAAGTGCATATTTATTAACATTATTTTATTTTTAAACTGATTAATATTTGTAATTTGATTTTGTCTAGAACGTCCAAGAAAAAGCTCGAGAAGAGGTCTTAAGAATACTTGGTGATGATCTAACACCATCAGCAGAACAACACAAGTCATTAAAGTATTTAAATATGATCATTCGTGAAAATCTTAGATTATATCCACCAGTTTGTATTAATTAAATTTTAATTGTAAATGTTAGAATTTTTGCCTATAAAATTTATCGAACTTATTCTTTTTATATAATAGGCCCCAAATACGACATTACGTCGATTAACCAAAGATTTAAAGCATAAGAATTTTGTGATTCCAGCTGGTACTCCCATTACTATCTTTTTATATGCAATACAACATTCACCAAAATATTGGGAAAATCCCGAAGAGTTTTTGCCTGAGAGGTTTGAAAATGAACATGCGAATGGTGATCAATATTGGTTGGCTTTTGGTGGTGGATCTAGAATGTTAGTTGAATTTCTTATATTTTTAAATTTATTATATTATTATATTTTTTTAATTTATACAATAATTAACCTTTTTGAAAATAATAGGTGCTTAGGAAATAACTTTTCCCTTATTGAACAGAGAATAGTGTTGTGTTTATTATGTAAGTATTTTAATTTTTGATTAACTTATTTTCTTTATCATATATATATGTTATGCTAATGTATTTTATAGTGCGTAAATATGAAATTTCATTGCCGCAAAATAGTATACATAAAAGTGGATTAAAAATCAAGATTTCAATGAAACCATATCCAATTGAACTCATACTTAATAGAAGGAATTAAATTAAATAGATATTCATCTTTTCATAATTAATTTCTCGATCTTATAAATTACTATTTTATATATAATTATTATTAATATTATACCATGATATGACTCTATAAATAAATATTTTCGCTATAACAAATAGTCAAATTTTTTTCACGTCTGAATAGTTGGTTTTTATATATAAAAAACCGATTTTTAAACTTAAATTTAACTATGTTATTATATTGTTTGCTAAGTTTTTAATATTCATTATCAATGTCTTAAATAAAATACTAAGTAATAATACAAAGATACCGTATGAGTAAAAGAAAAATATTTATTACTAGCTGTCCTGAAGCTCTTTAACTACTGCAGCAAGCATTATTTCAAAAGACTCGACCCTTATAGCTTGGACAAGTTCTTTCATGACTTGATCGAATTCTACTAAATTATAATTATCCTTTGTTTGGCAAAGTTCTGCAATAATAATAACTTCTGTCTGACATTATTATCACGGATCAAGACTATTTTGGAAATTTGAACTGATTTTAATGTTCTCATGAGGAATATTTTTTAAAAAGTAATGCTCTCAAAATCTAAAAAATGTTCTCATAAAAAATTTAAATTAAAATTTAATCAAATTTATGTTCTTGTTATGCGTCATTTTTCAATTTGCGTCGATTATTAATTGACGCCTGTCATTTTTCAATTTTCACCGATTGATAAAC